AAAAGAAAAAATCAGAGTGAATTAGTGGTCATTAAAATTAGTTCAAAACAAATTAATTGATCCATCGCACACGTTATTGCACAGCTATCATTTCTGCCTCCAGCTGCTGGACTGCTTCGTGATCCCGGTCCTGATGGGTCTGAGCTGGTGGATTCTGAAGGCTCGCTACAGGCTGATCCACTCTGTCGCCGTCTGCATCTGTCTGCTCGGAGTGGGGGCCATGGTGGGAGCCGACCTGCTGGCTGGACGAGACCAGGGCTCCAGTAAGGAATTCTCCAAAGAGTTTACTCACTAATCAAATCCCTGATGGAAGACTATAAATTGTTTAATAAATCAAGTCCATGCAGGACACCAGTGAAAAAAAAACTTAACTTAGAGAACAGAGACGAATCCTAACACGTGAGTATTGATCTGATATCACTATCAGTGTTGGTATCTATCACTATTTGGATCAATCCACCCACCTCTACAAGACACAGAACAACACCAAGATGGTTACACTGAAAACACTCGAGACTTCATCATAAGCTTTTATTCTGTTTATGGAAAAATACAAGGAACACTTGGAAAGCTGGAAAACTGACTATGATGAGTTCAAAGACAATCTGGAAAATAGAAAGAGCTACACAGGTCATAGGTGGCTAATTGGAAACAGGTGATAATTACAAAAGAAGTAAAACTGAAAACATGGTAAAGAGGCCAGGAAGTGCAAAATAAAACAGGAAGTGACCTTAACCTTTATATGAATCCTAAATTATGACACATGTGATGTTTTGGATTTAAGTGAACGACTAAAGAAAAAATCCTTCACATATCAGGTAATTTTTAGATATAAAGACCTGTGTCAGTTTTATATTTTCAACTCCTGAGACCTTCTATTACAGAAAAAAGTTTAGATACGGTCGTGAAGGTGCGTTTTTCATCCAAACCACAGTGTTTTCCAACATGTGACACAAACCAAGTAGTGTAAGTGCCTAAACCTAACCAGGTAATAGACAAAAAAGTATAAACCAAATACATGTTTTACACTTAGCGATGGAAAAAATCAATGCAAAACATATAAGAAATAAAAAAAACTTTCTCTATGGTTATAAAACCAACAATACATCCCATTGCTACCACTTTTCCAACCTTTTGCTGACTTTTTGGTCTCTAATCTGGGATAAAAGCGTTTTCCAGCCTGTGCATGACATGCAGGGAAACCAACACTGAGGCAACATTAGCGTTCGTCTGATGATGTTGAACCTTAGCGATGATCTTGTTGTTCTCTCCTCAGCCTCAAACATCTTGTTGGGTGATGGTCTGGTGCTCCTCAGTGCTTCGCTGTATGCGGTGTCTAACGTGTGTCAGGAGTACACCGTGAAGAACCTGAGCAGGGTGGAGTTCCTGGGCATGGTCGGCCTTTTTGGCACAATCATCAGCACCATACAGATGTAAGTGTGTGTGACTGGCATCAGTTTTAGGACTCAGTGGACTTTGTGGTTTATCTGATGTTTCTGTTTTTATTTTTACTCAGGGTGATCCTGGAGCATAATGAAATTCCTGCCATCCAGTGGAGCTGGGAAGTCGGTGAGTACTGATCTGAATCAGGAACATGTTGAAGACAAAACAGGACTGCCGAAGCCTCCAGATGGTTACGCATGTTAACACATTATGAAACTATAAATATTTAAAGGAGCTATGGTACAGTCAACACAAATACTCCTAAGTGTATACTCTTTGGGACCTGAATAAACACAATATGTGTCAGAATAACTAATGCTTTAAACTATGAGAACATAAGGTTATGCACACTGAGATTTTCACAGTGAAAAAAATAACAAACTTTATTAATAAAAGCCAGAAGAAAAGAACAAAGCTGGTAGGAAAACCAATGTGTCACAACCAACTAATGCGACAAAACTAACTTAAAAAAATAATTCAAAACATAAAAGCACAAGAAAGGAGACACAAGGTCAATAATTCTTCAAGGAGGGCAAAAAGTAACAAAAAAAGAAAAGAAATGAGAAGAAAATGAAATTACAGGCAACTAAAATCTGATGTTCACAGCAGGGACCATGACAAAGGGGCAGAAATAATCTAACCCACATTCACAGAAACACAGTTCTTGTCTCGTTTGTCACATTTTCTCAGTGAAAGTTTGAAAAAACATTTTCTAAAAATCACAAAGCCACAGCATCACCCCTCATATTCATTATTTCATGAAACTTATCTTTGAGTGTATAAAGATGACTAATTTAGAGGTTTTATTAGACACTTTTGATCACCATGTTGGAGAAGTCGACCTGAGAAATAAAGAGATTTTTTCTTTCATGTTTGAGTTTTCTTTAATACTTAACCCTTGTATGGTGTTCGGGTCTGTGAGACCCGTGTTCAGTTTTTTTCAAAAGAAAAATTAAACAATTAATTATTTTTTCACGTGTAAATGTGTTGTGTCTTTCCACTCACTCCACTTGATTATAACTGATTCATTTATAACATTTCATATAAAAGAAAAACGAGAAGCACATTAATTCATAAATGTGATCTAACAAAGGTAAAGGAAAAAAATTAACCATGTTTGCTGTTCATATGTCTTGTAATTGGGATGAAGTAAACATCTGTTGAGTAATTTAACATAAAATTGTTTGATAGTGTTAATTTGGAAAGCCAAAACTCTAGCGGGTCCACCAGACCCATGAACACTGGCTGAGTAACAAAAATACGAACACCACACAAGGGTTAAATGAACTAACAGTGGTCATGTCTCTTCTCAGAACTGCTGTTCGCTGCCTATGCACTGTGTATGTATGCTCTGTACAGCTTCATGCCTATAGTGATAAAGCTAAGCAGCGCCACCTCCGTCAACCTCTCCCTGCTCACCGCTGACCTCTTCGGCCTCTTCTGTGGGATCTTCCTCTTCCACTACAACGTGAGTGCACACTCAGTTATTCTTACTTTATATATCTGACAGTCCTTTCCTTCAAACCGCCTCAAGAGGAAACTTGACCTGCACTTTAACACCCTCCCCACTGTTGGACTGTAAAAAACAATTTTAATCTTAGTAAAAAGCATCACATCGTCTGTCAATGTGTTGATCCTACAAGGTCATGACTACAGGATCTATCCAGTGTATTCCAGTATGTGATTCCTTCTCATTAGAGGGAACAATTTCACAATTTATGTTATTGGAAAAAGCCCACCATCAGCAGGAGCTGAAGTTTTATCAGTTTAATCAGTCTTCAAGTCTTCCCTCTGAACATCCAGCACCAGCATCATGCAACAGGAGGACTGATTATGATCTTTACCTTTACCCTAAGTTATGCATTTTTCCTACCATGGAAGACAGGCTCTGACAAGACTTAACTGCACATGACGTGGATACTTTCTTTGTCAGCAGCACAGACACTGAGAAAACACAATGAACGGCAATCAGTCAACTCTGGGTAAGGTATGTAGGTGTATGAACAGAGGCTTAGAACATTCAAATGAGAAAACACAAGATTTTCTGTAGTTTCTGGATTGAACAACATGTTTCACTGAAATGGTACGCAACCAACAGGGGCTAAAAAAATAAAGCCAAAACAAAGTGAAACGACTGTAGTTCCTCTCACAGCCAATTAAGGCTCACTGAAACATCAAGTTGTTACTTTGTTGCTAGTTTGCCACGTTCTCTTTTGAGATGATGCTTGAATTGTGCTTCTGCAGTGAATCCAATTAAGAGTCTAGGGCACTGTACACGCAAGTGGTCAGCGCCATTTCCAGCATTCATACCTGTGCAGGCTGCATTGACAGTGGTGTGAAGTTACACACCTGGGGATGTGCACGTCCTCAAAATTGCTAATAACACAGAGACAACAGGAATACTGAACACACATTAGATTTTTAATCTTTAGAGTGTGAAACTTTGAATAGATACAAAAATGATTTATTTGCCTTTCAACAGAGCTTTAATGTGTTTTCTAGTCAGGGTCAGATGAGAATCTTTAATGTCAGTTAATGACAGGACTTATTTCCAGCACACACACATATAAACACTGATTATCTCTTCCCACCCCGTCTTTGGGTCATAATGACCTGCTGAGTGTTATGCACGCTCAGAAGTGTTAATGAATAATAATGATAAAAGTTAAAATGTAACTCTGTGCTGTGTGTTCTCATGCAGAGCTCCATGCATGTATGCAGTTTGTGCATGTGTTGAATATGAATTTCTCTTTTGACCTGCCAGTGAATTTAAATGAGTCAGTTCCAGATGAGAGGTGGCACTGTATTCTCCTAATAAAACACTCACATTTTCTCATTAATAAGCATAATTACATTCTTTGTGTCAACATCTAAACTCCCATATTGTTTTTTCTTTAATTTAACCTTTATTTATACAGGTGAGACTTAAAGTCTCATTTACCAAAAAGACCTGTTCTTATTATTTACCATGAAGTTAAATCCTGCAATTAAACGTTAAACAGAGAAACTCATAAATGTGAACACAGATGTCCAGTGTCAGACTTTACACGGACATCATATTGCACATTCAGGATCAGAAATCCAAGTCAAATAAAAAGTTGTTTCGGATCCAGACTCGCCCCCTGCTGGTCATTGGAAAAGAATACTGTGTGCAGTTGGGCCAAACCCCAGCTCAGGTAAAATGTCATTCATAACTTGAACCCAATGAACTGGTTTTCCTTCTGCACTCCTTTTTTTAATGCAATTTGAACATTCACTTTCTGCTCCTGCTCAGTTCTCCGGCCTCTACATTGTTTCGCTGGTGGTCATCCTCATTGGCTTTGTCGCCTTCAACGCTGTTCCGACTCCCACCGCTGCCACAGACTCCAGCCCCTCGTCTTCACCTGCTGCTACCTGCGAGGAAGGCTGCTCTGAAAACCCTGTGGATGCTCAAGAGCTGCAGCCGACTGAAGACAGGAGGAAGAGGAGCACTTCAGGGCCAGAGCAGAGCTACGGCAGCACAGAGCTCGGCACTAGAATGTGATCAGCTGGTTTACAGTCTCCAAACATGTCGTATATGTATTTTTAACCAGTTATTTATTGAGTTTTGCTTCTTATATAACACATATGGTACATGTAAAAACACACAATACAGAAGTTCATGTAAAAAAAGATAAATAAAAGTGCAAATGCAAAAGAAAAGAGTGATTTTACATTTCAGCATTTACCTCTTTAAACACATTGTGTTTCACTGAGCCATACTGAAGGCTGTCTCAAATCCTAACATGTATCGTGAAGCTGCAGGAGGAGTGATAATCAGAGGTGCACAGGTGAGTCTTTCCTGATAATGTCTTCTTCTTTTTTTTTTTATAAAAGAGGCCCTGCACACAGGGAGTGCTTTTTATCTGTTATGATGATGTTTCAGTTAAGATTATTACATTTTCTACCCTCCACAATTTCTGTGTGTGTAATTCAAGAAAATGTGTGATATCCTTAAATTAAAAGGGTTCCTAAATATGACACATTGCAGTGTCACACCTGAGATCGTAAACCCGTTAACAAAACTATGATGAAGTGTATCAAATGTCAAATTTTACTGAGATCGGTTTAAGAAAGGACACCTTTGGATGGATGTTTCCCCTCTCCTCCTCATCTCTGGTGGGAGGGACTAATACAAAATCAGAGGAGGCAAGGAGAGGAGTCAAGGATTCAAGGGGAGGAGCTTGATGCTGTAAATTAGTATAAATATGCTGTGCTCACTTTGGACCCGACTTTAACATCTAAACATGATTCTAAAAAGTTATCCGGCTTGTAAAATTTAACCTTCAGAGTTTCAAGCAAATCAGACTGTTCCAGACCATCAATGCAGAGAGGATGTGTCTACAGTTCAAGACTTTTATCATATATTGAGTATTGTTTCACTATGTGGTTATAAATAGTTGAAATTACAAAAAAAACTTAAACTTTTTGATAAAAACTCATTGCTATTTTATCCCTGAAAAATTCTGGAAAAACATGTTTCTGAGTTTTCATAATTTAAAAAAAAAAATAAGTATGCCTGTTTTATTTATAAGGATCTACATAGACTTGCTCCACATCCTTTAAAGGAATTTATTAATCAAAAGTCAGATTGTGAAGTTGCACAAGGGCCACCGCTAGGGGGAGTGTGGGGCAGTCTGTAGGTGCACAACATTTAGTCAATACAGGAGCTAAATGTTGGAATGGCTTACCGAAGGCAACAAAGGAGCGTTCCACATACACAGAATTTGAGGCACATATTAAAGTGATGGTGAACCAGGTCTGTGCTCACTGGGTTCAGATGTGCAGGTCTACATGAATGACGCTGAGTAGCCTAAACATGGTGGAGAGGATCCAGGTCTAAGCTGCAGCAGCTGGCAGAGTAATGAAAAACCACCAATGGCAAAACCCACAGTGAAATTCAAAAAGGGAAAAGCCAGTGGCACACAAGGAGCAAAAACACTAAATATACACAGAAGAGACTGAATAACGAGACACAAGTGGAAACAATTAACCACAGATAAAACCGATATGCTGGCAGAAAACCAGACAGCAGGAAAATAAAGACAGGAAGTAAAAGCAAAGGTGACATGCAATAGAAAACAAAGTCACCAAGTAATACAAGAAGTCCAAACTAGGAGGGAGTCTTTGTTCGAAGACCGCTGCAGGCCGCACCTTCATGAGACATCAGACTGGATTCAATCCTCTTATGTGACCCGCAGCAACAAGGGAGAGTGATGGGAGGCATCTTCCCAGTTAAACCAGTGAAAATGAGAAAAAAAACAAAAATGGAAAATAAAAATCCGTCATTACAATCTTCTTCTCTGGTTGGTAACTTCCTGCTCAAACCTCCTCAGCCGCCTCCTCCTGAGATCCTCAAGAGTCTCCTGGGTGATGTTCAGTTTCTCTTCGCCTGGTTTGTCCTGAAAAATTAAGTTGTAGCTAAATGTTTAATTTTTAAATATAATTTGGCTCAAATGTATCTAATTTATTTTATAAAATTAAGTATTAATTTTAGCAGTGAAAGAAGACTGTCACTTCTGCCTCTTGCCTCGATGTTTCAGACTGTTTCTGATGGCCAGCTCTATCTGCTCCTCCTCCGTCAGTCCTGAGATGTAGCTCTCAGAATAATCAGACGTGTGATCCTCCGCAGGTCGAGGCTCTTCAAAGTATTCTCGTCTGGTCCCGCTGTATCCTGCGGGCACACATGTGCACTAAAATATTAAAGTTTCTAACTTGAGTTTAATTTTTAAATCTTGCAACGTTGGGTAAAAATGAAAAGGTTACAACACAGAAAATTAATAAAAATAAAAGTACTGAGTGTCTATAAACTCTATCCACTCAAATCATCTCAAACTGGTCTCCTGAACATAACTGCGAGTTTTACTCGAATGGCCTCCACAGTCACCAGATCTACAACATGAGAGTCACATCACTGATGTTTATTCAATTAAATTCAATTTTATTTATATAGCGCCAAATCACAACATAAGTCGCCTCAAGGCACTTCATAGATACAGAGAAAAACCCAACAATCATATGACCCCCTATGAGCAGCACTTTGGCAACAGTGGGAAGGAAAAACTCCCTTTTAACAGGAAGAAACCTCCAGCAGAACCAGGCTCAGGGAGGGGCGGGGCCATCTGCTGCGACTGGTTGGGGTGAGAGAAGGAAGACAGGATAAAAGACATGCTGTGGAAGAGAGACAGAGATTAATAACAGATATGATTCAATGCAGAGAGGTCTGTTAATACATAGTGAGTGACAAAGGTGACTGGAAAGGAAAAACTCAATGCATCATGGGAATCCCCCGGCAGCCTACGTCTATTGCAGCATAACTAAGGGAGGATTCAGGGTCACCTGGTCCAGCCCTAACTATATCCATATAACTATATTTCTCCAGGCTGGAGAAACTGATCAGGAGGGCTAGCTCTGTGGTCGGCATGAAGCTGGACACTCTGGTGACAGTGGCAGAGAAAAGGACATTAAAGAAACTGATGGACATTATGGACAATGCTAGGCATCCTCTGCACACGGCCATAAACAATCAGAAGAGTCTGTTCAGTGACAGGTTGCTTCTCCCAAAGACAAGAACTAACAGACTTAAAAACTCCTTTGTCCCACACGCCATCAGACTGTTTAACTCCTCTCTGGAGGGGAGAGGGAGGGGAAACAGGAGGACAAAGGAGGGGGGAACAACTAAGCTGTAGTGCCTCTTCACCTCACTGTGCAATACCTTTTGTGCAATACTTTTGTAAATAGTCAACAGTGCAATAGACTCAATACTTGAAATGTGCAATTCACTTGTATTTTTATTTTTTATTCCTATTTATTCTATTTATCCCCTTTGTATATTTTATTTATATTGTCTCTGTATTTATATATGTGTGTGTGTGTGTGTGTGTGTGTGTGTGTGTGTGTGTGTGTGTATATATATATATATAATATTCTGTAACTCTGTAACTTCTGTCGGTGCTGTGCTTTTTTGGAAATCGAATTTCCCAGAGGAACCCACCCGAGGGATTAATAAAGTTCTATCTTATCTTATCTTATCTTATCTTATCTTATCTTATCTTATATGCTTTAGCAAAAAGGAAAGTTTTAAGCCTAATCTTAAAAGTAGAGATAGTGTCTGTCTCCTGAATCCAAACTGGAAGCTGGTTCCACAGAAGAGGGGCCTGAAAACTGAAGGCTCTGCCTCCCATTCTACTTTTAAATACTCTAGGAACAACAAGTAGGCCTGCAGAGCGAGAGCGAAGTGCTCTAATAGGGTGATATGGTACTACAAGGTCATTAAGATAAGATGGGGCCTGATTATTTAAGACCTTGTATGTGAGGAGCAGGATTTTGAATTCAATTCTGGATTTAACAGGAAGCCAATGAAGGGAAGCCAAAACAGGAGAAATCAATCAATAAATAAGTCAATAAATATGTGACCTTAATTCTTCAGACTGCTGTGAAGGCAAAAAGGGTCCAAGACTGCAAGGTGCACATTCACTAATCTTAGGTTTGGCAGCGTTTTTAGGTAGATAAAGGTGAATGGCTTGATCAAGAATTGAGCTGCGGTTTGTGGAAGGCCTTCATGGGCACATGCGGTGGCTCCAGGGCCCGTCAGATCCTTGTGTACTAATGAGAAGTGAAGAAGTGAAAGAACTGAAAAAGGGGGAGGTTGGGTACGAAAACAAGAGCGAACAGCTTGTCATATATATTTAAGACCTGGAAGGGGTGTGTTTGGAGGCATGGTCCCACTCCTGAAATTCAGATAATTTATCTCCAATAATAAAGTGTTGAAGATAAATTGAGGCAACCTCATCATGGATCCTAAAGTGGTTCGTCTTTCAGAAAGTGGGCACCCAGGTTTTAAAAGCTGTACCAGAAAACGGAACAAACAGTCTTTCTCACTGGATTATTTCATATTCTATAAAACAGTGGATCCTTTATGTTTTCTATAACATTGCTGTTGTACCTGAAAAGCTGTAGTATGAACGCTGGCGTGAAGTAACTCCATCTGAAGATATCATATCTGATTGGAGAGAGAGAAAAGAGCATTTTCAGGTTCATATATAAGTATTAAAGATTTCTTTCACACAGGCTCACACAGTTAACAAATACAACATGCTGTAACTGCTAATGTGATGTTTGCTGATCATGACTGTGTAAAAAACACAATTTTATCATTTTGTTTTATTTGTTTGCAGAATGAAGAATTCATTCGCTACACAAACTGAAAAAGCAGCATTCAGACCTGCACATGCCTCCATGATGGTCTTCAGTGGACCCACAGTGTAGAGCTGACCCACCAGGACACCTGCCAGGTGGCCAACCAGAGAGGTCCTGAAAGAGAGCAGCAGGGAAAAAGACCATGATGATAAAATATCTGCTCAGTTTTAGATAAAAAAAGATGCTGCCTTCAAATCTACGCTTCAAAATCGATTTTGTTTTCTCAGTGATCATCTTGGACTGGAGCAGTCTCTCACCCAGGAGCGATTAGATAGATGAGCACCAGCTCCACCCAGCTAGCAAACTGATTGGACACCCGAATATTCATAACGTACGTCACACCACCGGGGTTGAAGTGGTTATTGACGATCTTCAGAGCAAACAAGACCCCTGCAAACAGATGTGGTTGTAAAATTAAGGAAGGAAAATGTTATAAATATCTCGTTATGATTAGTTGATTAATCATTTAGGTGAAAATATATATTTAGTCCAAGAATGAAAAGAATTCAGTTTCTCTGAGAGGAAGAAAAACAGCAAATCTTCTCATTTTAAAAGATGAAAGTTTCACCTTCTGGCAACGTATTATAGTTATTATGTTTAAATTAGTGTATTTAGCTTAATATAGACTATTTTTTACTTACTTATTTTATATATTTGTTTGATTTTATAACTTGGATTTATTGTGGCTGCAGGATTTTAAACATTCAACTACAAAATATTAATGGTGTTAATTAAGTAATTAATTAAGGTGTCGTCTACATATCTGTACCAGTGGCTGGGTACTCTTCCTTTGAAAGAGCCAAGAGCCTTCCTTTCCACTTCCTCCATGTAAAGGTTGGCTACAACGGGGGAGCCCATGGCACAGCCATGTTTTTGTCTGTAGAAGCCTTCGTTGTATTTGAAGTATGTTGTAGTAAGGCAGAGGTCTAACAGACTACAATGACCTGGATGACTGAGAACCTTCACAGACATGTTTAGTTCTGGTTCTTTACGTCTTGATGCATTCTCAATCATCCAGGAAAGAAAATCTCCAAAAGTTGATTGTGTTCATCTGGACGTAGCGTTTTGTGGGAGAAACGTTTCGTCACTCATCCAGGTGACGTCTTCAGACTCAGCTGACTACAGGTTTCAATCTTATAAACAGCACATTTGCATAATGACTGAAACCAGCCCACTGAAGGAACAATGAGCAGGGAGGTCAGTTCCTTAATCTTAATTATGCAAATTCTCATGGTCATTGATCAACAACCACTGATCAATAACCATGAGTACCATTCACAGAGAGTTGGGGAATGGCTGCAATCACAGCATTGTAAGATGGTGACAGATGTACCCTTAGGCCCCCTCCTCGATTCAGAGATGGTCTTTCCCTTTTCACGTAAATGTCCTCCTTGACTCCGCCCTCAAACCAGCGTTCCTCCCTGTCCAGGATGTTACATCCTCATCATTGAAAGAGTGTCCACTGGCCTGTAGGTGTGAATAGACTGCAGAGTCCTGACGAGGTGGCTCTTCTGTGTTGTGCCATCCGCTTTGCCAGAGGTTGTTTGGTTTCCCTGATGTATAAATCCTGGCAATCCTCCTGGCACTTAACAGCGTACACTGTGTTACTCTGTTCGTGTCGGGGGAGCCGATCCTTGGGGTGGACCAGTTTTGGCGCATGTTTTGGGGTTTAAAAGCTAGAGACACCCGGTGTTTAGAAAAAATGTGTCTCAACTGCTCCGATACTCCCGACACGGTTTAGAATTCTTATTGAGTGGATTGTAGTATATTATTATTTCTGTACTATGAGTTTCTTATAGTTTTTAAAAAAAATGTTTTTCTTTTGGCTTTGGCCTTTTTTCTCCTTTGTATATTTTATTGTTTTTAGATTTACGTTTTGTTTTTGTTTCTAGTTTTTTTTCTAGTTGATTCATTTTGTTCTTAAGTATTTTAGCTGTCTTTTATTCATCTGTGTTTTTGTATCTTTAACTTGTATGAGGTCATTAGGATCCTTGGTCTTAGTTGGTTTCTGTTAGTGTTTGAGTTTATTCACGTTTCACCAGTATCCACTTAAATGTTATTGTGGACAAGGTCACTAAACTAAACCCAGTCATATTCCAAGAGCACTGATCTAGAGGGGAGCTGCCCCAACAGGTGTGGTTGGTGGCCTGAAAGTGGGCCTGCAAGGTTACCCGGGTCTGCAGGGCAGGGTGGACATCTGGAGGACAGGGGCAGTCAGAATTTAGTGCCCTCACCCATCTGCATCCAAGCTCTGCACTGCCTACCGGGTACAACCCATAGGATCAGTGACTGGTCTATTTGAACAGAGAGCCAATCCAGACTTCCTGTATTGGGATGCTGGTTCCACAGATCAACACATTCAACTACCAAAATTTTACATTATACTTCAAAAGTTAATATTTAATCACGTCTAAAAAAATTTATGCTGATAATTTTGGTGCTGATGGATCACTCCTTCGCTTTTTTATTTAACAGTTACTTAAAGTACTTTTTTATCTTATCTTGTTATACATACATCTAGATTTTCTTCCTTTGAATCACTACTACTGCTGGGAGTTTGTACCTGAGAAGCCGACAGCACACTCTCTGCTGAAAGCCTGCACATATTCCAATAATGGATCAGAAGAATCCGTGCCCTCCATGAGCTTAATCATCAGCGCCTGCAGCAGCAGGTACACCAATCCAGTGAGCAGAAAGAAGACTGACAGCAGGTACAGGAACCAAGGTCCACCCAGACGTCGCTCCAGCCTGATGCCTTTCCACAGGAAGGACGCCATGTTGAAGTAAAGGTGCCAATCATCGATGTGATGCAGGGGGGACAGGAAGAGGCGTCGCCACTCTTTATTTCGGTACACCTGATCAAGGCTCATGCAAGCCTGGACACAAAGTAAAAACAGTCGTATGCTTTTGATTCTTTTTAATACATCAATAATGTGAATCCAAAATCATTGACAGGCGACTTTGAAGGCAGGATGCTTCAGCTGATGGTTCAGTATGAAGAATGCTCCTGCACACCTTTTATTATATTCGTCAGCAGAAAAACCATGAACAAAAACCAGTTTGTCAGTTCTGTTTGCAGCCATGCAGGTGTTGGCTGTCACAGAAGCACCGCCATGTGGGCTGTTTGTTTTTTTTAAATCCAGTTTCCTCTTTCTGTTGCTAAATTATTCAACAAAATTCTCGCCTGTCTCTCTGTTTAAAGGTTCACCTCAGGGTTTTTCCATTTTTTGTTCAGACTCGTTGTTTCATCATTAAAGACATGATTCTCTTCAACCGGGAAGATAATCTTCAATTTTTATGACTTAATTATATATTTTTGCCTGTCATCCGAATGCCTGCCATTTTCTGGTTCTCCTGCTTATTACTAATAAAAACAACTTCTGATTCTGAAGAAAGTCAGTCTAAGATGCAATCGCTGCACTCAACGTTTTGTTCATGAACTAATTATAAAACGACAGGTTAATTTCTGTCCCAACAGGTACACTTTAAGTAGCAGAGAGGTGCTGCTATCAAATGTCATTGGTTAACTGATCATCAGCAAGTGAGAGTTGGACTTGTGTTTTAGCCACAGGACCCAGGCACCTTACAGTCATTGACTAGAGACCATGAACTTTTCTGTACACTAAAGTATTCTAGAGTCATATGTGAGACCATCTGTCAGACGTCTAAAGCTTTGGGTCATGCAACGGGACAATGATCCCAACACAACAAAGCAACAAAAGAAAAGAATCAAGGTGCTGCAATAAACCAGTCAAAGTCTAGACCTCATCCTAAATAAAAGGCTGTGGCTGAGACCTTTAGAGAGATGTGTGTAAATAAACACCTCAAATTCTCAGTAAGTCTATGCCAGGGTGCTGGAAAGGAGAGTTTGTCCGCCAGTCAAACCTCAGATACAGGAGGAACAATGCGGTTTTCGTCCTGGTCGTGGAACACTGGACCAGCTCTTTATGCTCTCAAGGATACTTGAGGGTGCATGGGAGTTTGCCCAACCAGTCTACATGTGTTTTGTGGACTTGGAGAAGGCATTCAACCGTGTCCCTCAGGGTGTCCTGTGGGAGGTGATACGGGAGTATGGGGTGTCTGGCCCATTGCTACGGCCATTCAATGATGTCTGAGGGCGTCTGCCACCCACTGGCAGGGGAAGTGATGGTGGTGGTGCGGGGGGTGTAGCCCTCCATACATTGGAGGGCCTGAGATGTCCCTAGAGAGGTGGCGTCTGATACCTGACCTGACATATAGACACAAACAATCAGGCACACACAGATACGACCCCCCCACCCCTCCAATGCACACATATGCAAATACTCAGCACTCACCCAACGTGGAGACAGACATAAATAGACATAAATCTATATAATATAATATAATGTTACAGTGGGGAGTTACCTTCAGTGGTGGAGCAGGAGGAAACACGTACAGGTACACATTGAATCCCAGGACAGCCAGGGTGATGGCTGGGATGTTTCCCGGACCCTCCTGGAACAGCTGGACAAGCAGGAGCAGGAGGCCTGCCTGGAAACCCCTCTGCATGCTGAAAGCTGAGGTTTAAAGGAACGGTTGACATGACAGATAAAGACAGACAACAATTCACATTTCAGGCCAATTTAGACTCACCAATTAACCAGACCGATGCATGCATGTCTTTGGACTGTGGGAGGAAGCCCGAGTACCCAGAGAGAACCCACACAGGCCAGAGATTACACAGACAGCACCGGCAGGCCGGTGGATTCAACCTTACTGTGTGGCACTAACCACTGCGTGGTTAGTAACAAAACTATACAGCAGAAAAATAAAGTTTCACGGGATTGTTTTACTTTGTCGACAGCGCTACTCTGTCGGAAGATGTGACTATCAAACAAACATGGACAATGAAAAGTAAAATTGATTGTATTACCACCGACTATATAATTTACACTTATAAACACAAACAAACAAAAACCATCCAGCCAAAAGAGAATATTACAGTTTTTGTTTCAAACCTTTTATTAAAAACTAGTATGTGTCAAAACTTCTTTCTCACAGCAGCAATACTGAAGGGACCATTTCATGTAATCACATCACAGTCTGAATGATGAAAAAACACAATTTATCCCATTACAGATGCTCCTAACAGATGTCCACTCTTTTGCTGTTATTGTCACTGAGACATTTTTAGATCGACAATTTTTAAAAAAATTAAAAACATGCTAGTAACATCTTTTGGCGTTTGACAAAATTAATTGCAATTAAACATTAAACAATGAGTGAGCATAGTCATGATTTGGGGGAAAAGCACGCGCCCACGCACGTGCAGAGTGGGGTTGGTTCAGTTGGGGGATGATACACGCCATAACATTAGTATTTAAGTCTTTAGCTAACTTCTAAAAGAGCTCAGTGCTGCAGGCAGAGCTCTCCACTGGTCATGCGCCGCACAGCCTCAAAGATCTCCCTGCACCCTTAGGTGGATGTGCAAGAACAAACAGAGTGAGACTGTCAAACCTAAGTGAGCAAATGGACATGTTTAGAGTTTGATAATCAGATATAACATTATAATAACTGTGTGCTGAAAGACGCTCAAATACACATTCTCTTGAGCATTTATCTGCACTCCTTTAGCTCCCTAAATGTTGAAATGTTAATGTTTCTTTTTCACAGATGAGTCACTTTATTTCATTATTTCATGAACTAAATGACAAAGACGGGGTCTATCTAATAATATCTAAAAAACAAACAAACCAACAAACAAACAGAAAAATGTTTAGCATCTAGGCTTGTATAGACCTGTGCATCACGAGATTAGCGGTGCCCACACAGTTACAGCCAAACCTTCACTTTTTCACATAATGTAAACATGAATCTGCAGTCTTTAGACTCAGCAGTGTCTGCTCCTCGTCCTCATTATTTCTCTTTTAATAAGAATCAGCAGGATCTGAACAAACTTACAGGTCAACTCAGTGCCGTCTGGCGATGTGTTTGTTTATGCATGCTTTGGGTCGGGCGCACACTTCTTCTGTGGGTCTGTCTGCGCGCTCCCGCCGGGGGACGAAAATCGAAAGTGATACCTCAGAGGAGAACGACCCCGCGCAATAAATTAATAAACAAATAGCAGCACAAACAGTTTGATTGCCGGTGGGCAATAAATCCATCAGCGGGCAACACGTCACCCTCGGTATGTTTGCACAGCGAGATTTCATTGGCTGAGGACGGAGCTGGGCTTTAGAGACGATCTGAAACGCATCCGTGTAAATCCTGCGCCGTGGATGCTTATATCCTATTCCATCCTTCCATAATTACATTTCTATTAAAATATATGAGTTTGTAAAGAACAGCTAACAAACACAAAGCTCTGCAGCATGTGATAACTAACCGCTCTGAGCCCAGGGCGAAGTGGGTTACGTTTCTGTGATGTGGATTCACTTACCCTAACACCGCTGATCAGGATAACCGACCACACTAGGCTGGTTGTTAACTTGCTAAGTTAACCCAGGTTTCTCCTGCGCGTTCACGGGTGGCACTGTGGCACATCATCAATCTAAAAGTGGGCGTTTCACTTTACTTCACCCTGCTGTTTATTTCTAAGGTGACGGCAGCTCGGAAGCTTTAAACTATGCTACATAGTTTAAATGCTACTACAACAATGCTAGTGTTAGCGGCGCTAACGGCTGCAGATAGGAAGATACTGCCAGCACCGGAAACGTGCTCGTCATCTCCGAGCATGAAGTAAGGAGAGCCTTCAAGAGAGTGAACACCAGGAAAGCAGCAGGACCAGACGGCATCCCAGGTCGTATCCTCAGAGACTGCGCATACCAGCTAGCTCCTGTGTTCACTGAGATATTCAACATCTCTTTATCTCAGTCGGTGATCCCCACATGCTTCAAAGAGTCCATCATTGTTCCTGTCCCGAAGAAACCCCACCCTGCTTCTCTCAATGACTATCGCCCTGTAGCCCTCACCTCAGTAGTGATGAAGTGCTTTGAACGCCTGGTCAGAGACTTCATCATTTCTTCACTACCAGACACACTGGACCCACTACAGTTCGCTTACCGTCCAAATCGTTCCACAGACGATGCCATCTCTCATCTCCTCCACACATCACTCACTCACTTGGACACTAGAAGGGGGAATTATGTTAAAATGCTCTTCATAGACTACAGCTCTGCATTTAACACCATAATTCCCTCCAGGATTTTCAACAAATCCCTCGCACAGGCGACTGTCCCACTCTGCCTGAAGTCCTCCACCATAGTCCCCTTGCCTAAGAAGCCCCACATCACTGGCCTGAATGACTACAGACCGGTGGCACTCACCCCAGTGGTAATGAAATGCTTTGAGAAGCTGGTCCGCAGACACATCACAGCAGCCCTGCCCCGCAGCCTGGATCCACACCAGTTTGCCTACAGAGCAAACCGATCCACGGAAGACGCTGTAGCCACAGCACTCCATGCTGCATTAACTCACCTGGAAGAGCATGGTAGCTATGTGCGGATGCTCTTCGTGGATTACTGCTCAGCTTTTAACACCATCCTTCCACACAAACTGGTGGCCAAGCTACAAGACCTGGGGCTTCCATACAGCACCTGCATGTGGATCAACAGCTTCCTCTCGGGCCGTAGACAGAGAGTCAGAGTTGGCCATCACACATCCTCAGCCCTGAGTCTCAGCACTGGCTCACCCCAGGGCTGTGTGCTCAGTCCACTGCTCTACTCTCTCTACACACACGACTGCACTCCTCGCCACCACAGCAACATCTTTGTGAAATTTGCAGATGACACCACAGTGGTGGGGCTCATTTCCAAGGGAGACGAGTCTACGTACAGAGACGAGGTGGAGCAGCTGACGTCATGGTGTAAGGCCAATAACCTCCTCCTCAACACTTCAAAAACCAAAGAACTCATAATAGACTTCAGAAGGAAAAAGGCAGAGATCCAACCACTATTCATAAATGGGGACTGTGTAGAAAGGGTGGCAAGCTTCCGCTTCCTGGGAGTCAATATAGAGGAGAACCTTTCCTGGAGTGTGAACACCTCCGAGCTGCTGAAAAAGGCCCAACAGAGACTGTACTTCCTGAGAATTCTCAGGAGGAATAACATCACACAGAGACTGCTGGTGTCCTTCTACAGAGCCACCATTGAGAGTGTTCTAACTTACTGCATATGCATCTGGTACACTAGCTGCACAGGGGCTCAGAGGAAAGCACTCCAAGGGATCATTAACACCGCCCAAAAGATCACTGACTGCCCTCTCCCCACACTGGAAGTTCTACACAACGCCCACTGTTTTAAAAAGGCCCAAAACATCATAAAAGACACCTCACATCCTGGCCACTCCCTGTTCGAACTGTTGCCCTCAGGCAGACGGTACAGGGCAATCAGAGCAAGGACTAATAGACTCAAACACAGCTGTTATCCAACTGCAATAACACATCTGAATACTACAAAAAAATGTCTATCACGCCACTCTTGTGTTAATCTATGCACGGTCTGAAGCATGTGTGTGGGAATGTATGTGAATGTTTTACTGTTATATCTTATTAGTATTTTAAGTATTCTATCTATTTTATTTATTGAATTTTATTGTTTTATTTATATTTTGATATTGCTAGGGATGATGCAATGATCGGGGACCATTCTTAATTTCGTTGTTCTCATGACAATGACAATAAAGTTTCTGATTCTGATTCTGATTCTGATTCCACACTCACCACCAAGCTGGAGCATCTGGGACTCAGCTCATCTATGTGTCAGTGGATCTCCAACTTCCTAACTGGCAGACCACAGGCAGTAAGGATGGGCGGACATGTCTCAGCCTCCACCACTCTCAGCACTGGAGCCCCCCAGGGGTGTGTTCTGAGCCCCCTGCTGTACTCTTTGTACACATATGACTGTGTGGCCCCTACCAGCTCCACCACCATCGTCAAGTTTGCTGACGACACCGTTGTGGTGGGCCTGATCTCTGATAACAACGAGACGGCCTACCTGAAGGAGATTAGGAATCTGGAGAACTGGTGCCAGAGAACAACCTCCTTCTAAACGTCAGTAAGACAAAGGAGCTGATAGTGGACTTCAGCACCAAGCAGGAGAGGAACTACCAGACCCCCGTCATCAACGAGTGCCCAGTGGAGAGAGTGGACTGTTCTCTCTGCTGAGGTCAGGAAAGCGATTCCGCTCCCTGAAGACCAACACAGAGAGACTGAGGAGGACCTTCTTCCCGCAGGCGATACGGTCTCTCAATCACACCACCACACAGTACTGACCCACACATACAGTTCTTACACACACACTGGACTTTCTGGACATTGTTTTCACTTCATCACTTAAATCACTTTAAGCATATTTGCACTGCACAAGACATAATGTGGATTGCACAACACTGGTCACTATATTCTTCATTTCCAGTTAATACTTGTACAGCTGCTGTTATTGTGTATATATTTATTTATTTATTTATATTTCTTCATACATTCTTATATAGTTCTATACTGTGTATTGTGTATTTTGTTGTACAGTTATTTTATTTTCAACTTTAATTTATATATTTTATCTTATTCTTTCCCAGTTAAATTTACCCTTCATTCTAATTTGTGTTGTGCAGTTATTTCATTTTTAACCTTAATTTATATTTTATTCCTTCCTAGTTAAATTTACCCTTTTTAATTTTTCATATTTATTTCCTATCTTATTCATAGCCTTTTCCTTTTTTTTTTAGGTCACGAGCAGTTGTCCAAGCATTTCACTGCATATCGTACTGTGTATGACTGTGTACGTGACAAATAAAATTTGAATTTGAATTTGAAACTGGATTCATTTTAAATGGAGGCTGTAGCTGAAATGTTTGTGTGGGTTGCCATGACAACACCAAAGTGAATCTGAGATCGTTATTGTTTTCTATTTGTTTTCTTTATTTGCTTCTCATGCTTGTGTACATTTGCAGTAGGTCTGCCACAAACGATTATTTTGATAGTCGACTAGTCACCGATTATTTTTGCGATTAGTCGACTAATCAGATCATCATCCATTGGACATACAGCGTACAGCTTATTGCACCAGCAGCATCTGGTCTTATATAACTATCATTAGCTTACAGCTTGAAGTGTTTGTGCTAACTAAAAATAAAGACAAGATGGTAGTTTATTAATTTTTAATGAAATTTGTGTTACGATATTACTTCAGGGAGCAGACATGACACCGTCTTAGGTTTTAGCCATCACTTTTTTATTATCTCCACACCACCCTCCGGTGGCTTCCACATGAACTGCACCTTAAACAACAACTGTTCACTCATATCATGACATCCCCCTTTTTTTTTTTTTTCAACAACAGGGGCAAACAACAAAGTAACTCACAACACCACTCAAGGCCCATGACCAGAGGGAAAAAAGAAAGGGAGAAAAAAAAATGCCTCTTGGCATACTCACATTTCTCTCTAGTGAACACTTTTTTTTTTTTTTTTTTATTTTTAATCACAGCATGTGCTCAAAACATAATGTTCATTTTATTCCTCAATAAGCCTTCTGGGCTTGGAAACAATACGTCCACTCGCAGTTTTGGGTGGGGAACTTGGAAACTCTGTGGGAGTGACATTTGTACTTTGCATGTCCATCTCACTTTGTCCCTGTGTTTCATCACACTCATTTTGCTGTGTTACGTTTTGGTTGTCCCTTGACTGCCTTAGAAACTTTCTGTTCCTTCTATATGTCTGTCCATCAGGCATCTGAACAACATAAGATCTTGGATGTTCAGATAAACCTGTCACCTGAGCTGGATTCCATACACCCTGTTGCCACATTCTGACAGTGTCACCAACCTGCAGTTGCTTAAGTGCTTTGGTTCCTTGGTTAAAGTATTCTCTCTGTTTCTGTTGTCTTGTTTCTAACAACTGCTGCACTGTCTTAGTGACCATGTGGGGTTTCAATCTTTGCGATGTTGTTGGAAGTCTTGTTCTTATGCGTCGACCCATTAGCAGCTGGGCTGGTGACGCTCCAATGTCCTCCAACGGTGTACTCCTCAGATTCATTAATGATAGATACGGGTCATTCCCCTCGGCTTTTGCCTTTTTTAACAAGAGTTTCACTGTTTGTACTCCTCTCTCTGCCATTCCGTTTGACTGTGCATGGTGGGGGCTCGTAGTGTTGTGACAAAACTCCCACTCTTTTGCAAAGTCTTGGAATTCACGGGAGCTGAACTGTGGTCCGTTGTCTGAAATCACCGTTTCAGGAATCCCGTGTCTGGCAAATTGTGACTTAAGATGAGTGATAACTGTTGCACTTCTTGTGTCTGACTTCAGCCACTCAACCTCAATGAACTTGGAATAGTAATCCACTAAGAGGAGATATTCCTGCTGGTCAAAAGTAAATAGGTCCACACCTATCTTCTGCCAAGGTCTTTCAGGAACACTATGTGGATGTAGTGGTTCTTTGTTCTGTCGTTTCTGGTGAGTACTGCACACATCACAGCAGTTCACCATCTCTGTGATACTCTGTGACATTCCAGGCCAAAAGAGTACTTCTCTCGCTCTGCGTCGGCAGCTTTCAATACCCAAGTGACCCTCATGAATGCGCTTTAGCATTTCTGCTCTCAGTGCTGCAGGAACAATAAGCTGCTCTCCTTTGAACAGAACTCCATCCACTACTGAAATTTGTTCCCTGTAATTCCAATACGCTTGGATTTCTGTTGCAGCTTGGTT